ACACACACACACACACACACACACACACACACACACACACACACACACACACACCCCTCGCTGTGTGTGCGACCGCACACGCGAGAGCACATGCTCGCCCTTATTCACATTGAAAAAAAGTGGTGGTAAGCCTTGACGCAAATTGAAAAAGCTAAGAAAAACGGTATGCATTCTCTATATCGTCCCCAGATAAGAGAGCATGAAGCGAGGGAGGACGGAGGGCCGAGGTAGGTAACGCCACCAGAGGGAGGAGGGAGAAGGCGAGGGAGGAAATAAGGAAGGAGAAAGGGAGGAAGGAGGGAGGGCCGATGGGGCAGGGGTGAGGGATGGAGGAGCAAGGGTCGAGGCAGGAATGGAGAACGGGCCGAGCGAGGGAGGAGAGAGGGTCGAGGCAGGAATGGAGGACAGGCCGACGGAGGAGGGATGGTGATGGTGCCTCTCTCTCTCTCTCTCTCTCTCTCTCTCTCTCTCTCTCTCTCTGGAGGGAGGGAGGGAGGAGAGAGGACGGCTTGAGAGAGAGAGAGAGAGACAAAGAGAGAGAGAGAGAGAGCACGGATTCACGATGAGCACGGATCCACGATGAGCACCGAGCACGAAAAGCATGTATCCACGATGCGCACGAAAAGCACGGCTCAACGATGAGCACCGAGCACCAAAGAAAAGCACGGATCCCCAATGAGCACGAATCCACGATAAGCATGTATCCACGATGAGCACCAAGCACCAAAAGCACGGATCCACGATGAGCATGAAAAGCACGGATCGACGATGAGCACGTGATCATGCACCAAAGAAAAGCACGGATCCACGATGAGCACGAAAAGCACGGATCGACGATGAGCACGNCCAAAGAAAAGCACGGATCCACGATGAGCACGAAAAGCACGGATCGACGATGAGCACGTGATCATGCACCAAAGAAAAGCACAGATCCACGATCAGCACGTGATCATGCACCAAAGTACGGATCCACGATCAGCACGTGACAAAAAGCACGGATCCACGATCAGCACCGAGCACCAAAGATGAGCACAGTCCAAGAGAGAGAGAGAGAGAGAGAGAGAGAGAGAGAGAGAGAAAGAGAGAGAGAGAGAGAGAGAGAGAGAGAGAGAGAGAGCACGATGAGCACGCCGCCGTGTGCCGTTGTCTGCCGTAGTGTCCCGTAGCGTGCTGTCGCGTGCCGTAGCGTGCCGTCGCGTGCCGTAGCGGCCGAGATAATTGAGAAGCCCGCGCCTTTGGAGGGCGATTTCAAGGCTGGGCGCGGGCGCCCGTTCAGAAGGGCCGTTTGGGCGGGCCGAACCGGTATCGCACGGCCCAGATTGTGGGCCGGTCACCCCCTGCGGACGGCCCAGATCGCAGGCCGATGAGAAAAGTTTCTCATCGGCCTGCGATTCGGGCCGTCCGCGGGTGGTGGTGACGGGGCCGCAACCTGGGCCGGTAGATATGACGTTAGCGATTCTTATAGTATTGTAGATGTAGATGTAGATGTAGATGCTGGGTGGGCTGGGTATGGGTAGAAAATTTTAAGATCAGCCCGGGTGGACTGGGTATGGGTAGAAAAAATATATCAGCCTGGGTGGGCTGGGTCCGGGTAAAACAAAATGTGTTTACATGGGTCCAGCTCATAATTGCGGCGCACCTGCACTGTGCGCTGTGCGCGGACCCAGGGTGCGTGCGCACCGCGCATCTGGGTGCGCAGTGCGCGCTGCGCTGCGCACGTCTGGTGTGCTGCGCGCATGTGCGCAATGTATATTTCCATGTTCTAGCGGTAGATTCATTTGATTTTGTTCTCTCTCTCTCTCTCTCTCTCCAGCGGTAGATTCATTTGATTTTGTTCTCTCTCTCTCTCTCTCTCTCTCTCTCTCTCTCTCTCTCTCCTCCCGACTTCTTCTCCTTTGGCCTTTCTCCCGCCTTCC